GCAGGAGAACCGTGACCTGAACCACTGTCCAAGTGTGTGCTTTTTGAGTTTGGGCATGGACAGACAACTTGAAAATATTGATGTGCGAGAGCTGGGGAAGAGGCAGAGTGGGAAGGCCTGCAAGGGCATTTTGGAGCTTTGTGTCAAGTTTGGTGTAGTGCATGGGCAGATTTTGGAGTCTGGGCTTTGGCAAAATCATCCACTGAGATGGCGTAACCAGATCACAGTGTACCTGTAGCACATAAGCTGTGCTTTGAGTGTTTAAGACTTTTGTTTTGGGGTGAAGGGTTGAGTTTGGGGGTAGTTTTTTTGCTAACGATCATCCAGTTGAAGTGTGTGCTCACTGTTAATGTGTCTGAGCTAAAATACCTTATGACTGTACAACAATTTTTACCCTTAAAAATAGGAAGACCCAAATCCTAGAGTCTCCCAGAAGTCAGAAAACACAACTGGTAGCTACTAGTGGCTCTTACGATCACTCTTTTTAAACAAGTTGAGCAAACAAAACATTTTTCCTTCCTTCTAGCTAGAAAGTTCTGGTGTCAGCATGAGTAAGTAACACTCACAAGATGTAGCAAATGATTTCTTAGGAACTATCCTTTTCTTATTCATATATATGTACATATGCACTGTTGTACCTCGGCTTTCAAGCATCATGTGTCTGTTTAAAAGAAAAGGACACACACCTTGAAAATCAGTTGTCAAACAAAGTGCTTGAATTCCAGCTGAGCAGGATTCCCAAAAGAGCAATCCTTGCCAGTTTGTATTATGGAAAAGCCTAATTCTGACACACTGTTCTGTGGAGCCTTGTCCACACACTAAAGCAGTCTGAATTAATTCTCATGTTAGAGTCAATCAGCTTGAGAGTTTTCCTGAAGGCAGTTGTTTCAAAGTGCATGCAGTTTTAATGAAAAGCAAAGATAGCTGTTTTCAAGCATGTAGAGCTAAAAAGAGGTTTTCCCAGAGGTTGTTGTATATATACCAAGCCATTAACAGTTTAAAAAGTAAGATTCTGTCAAGTGTGTTTGGTAAACCAGCTTTGCAAAGGCAAGAAGCTTGTCTCTCTGATCAGATCTCTTTTCCCCTTTGTCTAATGCAATTACGCAGGCCCAACACGAAAATATTGTACTTGGTGCGTTTGCTGTGACACCCTTTGTCATTTTGGTGTTATTTTGTTACTCCTTGGCTCCTTGTTCTCAGTGAATGTTGTTTCTTTTTGTGATGGTCTGGATCTTCTTCATTAAGAAATTAGGAAAGGACTTTAGTGGGTCTAGGCTGCTAACCATAAACCAAGAAATTTTCAGATCTTAGAAACTTGGTGTGCCTTGTTCACAAACACTGAGTATCAGTATCTGCATTGTGCTTGTTTAGCTGAAAGAGTAATGAGGAAATGTTTAAGAGAGGTAAGCTTCTATGGGGACAGACTGTTCTTAGACTTTGTTTATATTTATTTAGTTCATAAACTCACATAATAAAACAGTTTCAGACTACATAAACTGTTTTCAAAAATTACTTGTAGAATATCCATGTAAGGTGAGTTTGGGTGTAGATGGGGACAAACCAGTATCTCAAGTGTACCATGTATATTCTAAGATTAATAGGAAAACCTTTCAGTGTGGTCCGATTGCATCATCGATGCACCCTCCCTATTGAGGCAACTTGCTTTTGCAGCTGTTTGATATAAATTCCTCGCATATGTCTTAGTCCAGTTGGTTTATTTTTATAAACAATAAATAGCCCAACATTCCTGCAGTGTTTCCCTTCCCTCGGACAATCTCGTGGAGCCATTTGCCATGAAGACGGTGGCTGGGATTAGTGGCGTTTGCACAGATGGCGGCCATCGTTCTGGAAATCTCATAAATAGTGGAACACGTGGACTTTTTCCTCCCCCTTCAACATGATCACAATAGATTATGAGGGCCTACAAATCACTACCAGATGATATTAAGTTGCTTTGATAACACTCTGGGTCCCTTCCGGTGTGATATTTTTCTTCATTAGAAAGGATAGCTCAAGCACACCAAATCCTCTTACTCTTTTCTCAAAATTTATAGATCTCAGTCTCTAAACTAATTGTTAGTTGCACAGCATGCCCTAAGCTGTGCCCAGACAGAGCAATTACATCCCCCGGCCCTGATTAAAGGCACAGAGGAAACAGAAGTGCAAAGAAAATGAAACACTCTTGGCTGTTTGGGCAGGATGTCATTGCTGTTGTTTGCCTTTTTTGACATTTGTTGATAAAAGTGAGAAAGGAGGTCAGTTATCCATCACTGACCCTTGTTCTATGCCAAAGATGTGACAGGCTTGTCTCAGGCTACTGACTCCGTTTATGAAATTATAAACAAAAAGGGGTTTCTGGGCCAATGTGCTTCTTTTCTATTAGCAGCTCAATAAATTCTTCATTTTCCCCTTGCTAAATTATATTGCTTTGTATGTCTTTTAAACTCATTTGCTTCTGTGTATCTGCCTAAACCCACAAAATGTCTGTTGAATGAGCAGAGCTGTACTGTGATAAAAACTTCGGCAAATTACCTAGAACAAGGGAAAACTCATATTCGAATGTTTTTGCATATCCAGGCATTTGTTATGGAATGTTCCTCACCTGTAAATTGCAGCTTTCTAATAGATGTGTTTTCCTTTTATTATTTAAAGTGACTTTATTGCTGACTTTAACTACCAAAATCAAGTTTTCCAAAGGAAAATGGGAAAGCACTATTGGCTTTCACCCCATATTTTTCTAAGGTCATCATGTTCAAGCTTTTACATTTGAAGCAGAAGTACTTATTTTTAAGGTACTGAAGTGGCTTAAAAATCATATGCAATCATCTAAAAATAAGATGGCAGAGAGCAGCAACTTTCTTGCATTAAATCTTAGCTTTTGTTTCCAGTGATATCTCCGCTAATGGTTCCAGTCTGCTGGGAGTTAGAGCAGATTCTGGAAAAGGTACTGTATTGTATTTTAAATATTTCTGCCAGGACTGCGAGAGACTTCACATTTTAAAGTCTTTGTTTAACCAGTTTCTCTAATTGCTTTATGTGATACACTAACACTGCTTCATACTAAACAGATGGCTTGTACAAAGGATCAAACCATAATCTCATGGTGTCTATAAAGAGTAAGAAACAAACAGCTTAAATATTTTCGAAAGTAAAAATAGATTTTTTTTCCTATTTTTTCACTTCATATTCTGTTTTCTCCCTTTTTAGACAAAGAGGGATTTTCTATTAAATGACCACATCCTGTCCCAATGTTTAAATATCTGATAAACTCAGATGTAGTAGTTCTTCTCTCCTCTGTGTCCCATGCACCACGACTGAACAGAAGAGAAGCTTTCAGCAGTCACTGTCTCTTAAAATGACCAAACATCAAAGAAGTTCAGTGAACTTGAAATTATATCAGGAAGTAGATCAGACAAAACCTTACTTGTGTGCATCTGTAGTTTCCACCGTTTTGTGCTTTTAAGCGGATTTAGTTTCAGATATTCTGTCTGTGGAAACTGTACACTTGCAAAACTACAGGTCACTCCCCCACGAGGCTTGGTCCCATGGACAGTTTTATTGTTGCTGTTAAAGGTTGACTGATCTGGTATTAGTAGAATAATACAGTAAATAAACAGCATGTAATAAATTAGAGCTTCACACTTTGAAGTCTTTGTTTAACCAGTTTTTTAATTGCTTTATGTGATACATTGACATGGACTGCTTCATGGTACAAAGCTTGGTTGCACCATGGATCAAATCTATAACCTCACTCTGGCCGTAAAAAGTAAATACATAAATAAATTTTAAAAATCCAACAAAACAAAACTAACAAACTATTTAAACAAGGTGCTTATGACCTAAGATCCCCACAAAACTGCTGTAACTAATGACTAAGTGTTGTCAGAATGGGAGTCAGTTTGTTAAGACCCTACAGATGAAAGCAAGCATGAAACATTGTGTTACATTCCCACAAGAAGCAGTGATGAGCAGAAACCTATTTTCAGGTGCAGTGAGTTTCTATCCTTCTTAGATAATCAGAATTATAAAGACTGACTTAAGATATTTGCTAAATTGCAAATTGCCACATGCTTGGAGTGATCCTTAAGCTACATCTCTTACAGCAAATGCATTCCCTGTCCTGCTACCTTTTTACCAGTCTTCACTAGCCAGTGTTGCTGGAGAAGCCCTGCAAAGAAAAATTCCAGTAGCCTTACTACCAACCTTAGCTGACTGATACAGCTGTTGAGAGATGTACTTCAGGTGAAGGGGGGATTTCTCTTTTCTTGGCAAAAGATTTTCCCTGTATTCTTTTCTCCATAGATTTTCCCTGTATTCTTTTCTCCAGCATGTCTATATGTGTGTTTGTCTGTGCAGTTCACAAATCAAGGAGTCAACTGGGGGTTTTTTTGGGGTCATAGACAGAGAGAGTGAAAACCTCTGTTTTCCTGTTTCCTTGCAAAGAAAAAGGAAATCCACTCTGACATTCTCTTTTCAAGCTATCTATAAATTATTTTCTGGAACATTTCCTGAAATAAACAGAATGCACAAGGTCTGACAGCTCTCCACATGTGCTTTTGGTGCAATGGGTGAATATAACTACTGTTCCTGTAAGACAAGGCAGAAGTGAGACATTACATGCCATGTGGGAGAGGCTGTTAACAAATTGGTGGAAATGGTTACGGTTTTCAACTTGTCAAGCATCATTTTCTTAGCTTGATGACACCTTGTAAGACCAATAAATAATTTATGGGGTATCTAAATGTTTCAAATAGGAGTTTAAGGACTGGAGGAAAGAGGTCTAGGGTCTCATAGTTAATCCTATTCGAGCAGCTTCTTATTAAAACAGCCCTCCACAAATTGATTACAGCTGCAATCCCTTTTAAGAAGGATTATTTAAAAATCCCAATTATAAAGACTATTTGTAAAGAGTAAAATACTTAGTGTCAGTTTTGCGTGGAGACTGTGGCTTGACTCAGTTGGCAGAAGTGGGTTATCCTTTTCCTGCCTTTCTTTTCAGGAGGATCTGCACGTAGTGGTCATTTCAAACAGTGGCTTTAACACGGTTGCTGCAAAGGAGGTTTGCTTCTTTTCATGTCACTTGTACTCCCTGGCTGCCTCTGCTGGCCCAGCTCTGGTAGGCTCTAGGTTGTCTTTTGCCTTCTTTTGGCCCTCCTGCTCAACTTCATTTGACATAATAAAATGATATTTAAAGTCCAGCCTAATTCAGGACTTGGTCCTGAGATCTGTTAATAGTATTTCCCCAGAAGGGCATATCTTCATTCTTAAAGTTTACATTCACTCACAACCTACAGTAAATGTGAGTGAATCTGATGGAAAAAAAAAAGCTAATATGGCTGTGTTTTGTCTCATTTTAGGTGCTTAAGACCACCTCTGCAAAGCTTCTTTGCACAATTCAGATGACATCAGCAGTAATAAACACAACTGATGAAGACAGTTTAACAACTGTTATGCAACACTGAACCATGCAAAGGAACCAGGGCAGGTCAGTGGATTTGATTCTGTGGTCTACATTCAGAAACATTTCTAATGATCTGACTATGCCATTATATTTTAAAATATTCTAGTGACTTCACAAGGTTTCATGTAATACACTGTGACTCCTCTAAGAACCAGTTTTCTTTCAGCTAACCTGTATAACACATCATGTATGCATTTTCAAATAGGGTGACCTCAGTTGTACTCACTCAAACAAGTAATGCCACTTCCACAACTTCAGTCACCAGAGACTGTTGCTTGAACTGCTGTGACAAAGCTTATTTTCTTATGGCAGTAATGTTTGAAATAGTGTATATTAAATAAATATATAGGAAAAGTCTTAGAAAGAGAGCTGTAAATTTGTAAACATGAATACTTAATCAAGAAACTGAACACTTAAGAGATCCAGTCAGGGACAGAAACATACCCTATAGCCATTTATCTAATCAAAATTAACCAAGTACTTAAAGAGTGAGCACTTGTAATGAGCTGCTTGTGAATAAGCTGGCAACCACGAATAATTCTGTGAATACAAATACTCTTTCAAGGAAAAGCTGAACTGCTTCTGAACAGCTAGTGAATAGAAAAACAAAAAGCAGGTGGCATTTACCAAATAAACTGTTTGTTTCACCCATTTTTGCTGACCATGACAAGAGTGATAAAGACAAACAATGCTTCCTTTCACAGATAAAGAAAAAGGATAGTTGAGTAAGAAAGATGGTAGATTGGGCAACTTCTATTCAGGTCTCCATCTAATCACACACTCACCATTTTGTTTTAGTCTCACTGCTTTACCCTCATGTTTTATTCTGAGAACTTAGGGTCGTGTTTTTCAAGGCTGAAATCAACTCCAGTTATTTTTAGCAAGAGTTAAATGCCAGCCTTACCATTCCTGTCAGTGCTTACACGTTTGTTAATGTACGTAGTAGCAGTTCCCTACTTCGGGTAGGCATTGGGAGGTAGTGAAGTATTTGGGTAAAATATTTAAGATCATGCCCTCATTTATGTTTAATGACTGTATGAATACAGAAACGTCTTTTTTCATCGACCTGCAGAAAGGTCTGACTGTTAGAAGTCTTTTGAAGGGTATATTTTACTTTGCAATCATTTTCCAAGTAGGGTTAGGGGAAAAAACAGATAAAGAAGGTTATTTTAATTTATAATTTTTTTCTTTCTGAGATTTTGTCTCAGTTTATGAGGAGACAGGATGCTAATAAACCTTTTGGTGTAGCATCTCACCACTGTGTGGACTGCTCTGTGGGCTTCTTTCTACACAGACGTACATATCTGCACACATGTATGTATCTATTTCACACGAATATGTAGTCATTGTTCCTTTTACAGTAGTTCCAACTTTCTGCTACATGTGCTGAGCTGTAAAGTATTAAGCTTTGTAATCCCTCAACCCCTTAGATGTGGTTTGCTGAGGGGGAGGGCTGTAAATCCACGGTGGCAAACAAGAAAAGCCTGAAGCTGTGAGCAAACAGGAAACAAATTATCTCAATCCCAGAATGTAAACTGTCATTGACAGAGATGCATGAAAGAATCATAACAGGGAAACCTGCTTCAATTTTTCATCCAGTTACCAGCTGAATCACTGCCATTACACTGAAGAAGCAACTGCCAGCCCACCACTGACATGTCAGAGTTCTTTACATGTTGTTGTGTGCACAAAGCAGCCATATAGCCTGAGTGGCATTTGCTCCTTTTCATGCTTGCAGACTGATAATTATTGCACATTGCCTCAAGCTTGCAATTAGAGGCCACCAAGAAACAAAAAATAGCTGAATTTCGAGATTAAGCCTTTTCCATGACGAGTCATATTTTCCCAGCAGGGAATATGTTGTTGCCAGTAAAAACAGAAATCACCTATGCTGTACTGGTACCAGATTAAAAGACATATTAGCCACAGGAACAAATGGAGAATTTGGGTATAATAAAAGTAATAATAACTGTCATTGTTGCTGGTGACACAGTTAGAGTTGATGCTGGCTCCTGTGCCACAATGCAGCTTTTAAGGGGGATGAGACAAAACACTGAGCTCCCAAGTACTTGTAATTATATATTCTATAGTGATTTTGCACTATGGATATTCACTCTGTGTTTTCAACATGTTCTCGTTCTGCTTTCCCAGGCTTCTCTCCTATCTCCCAAAGCTTTGCAGTTTAAGTTCATAGGAGATACTTCACTTCCTTTATTGCATAAAAAATGAGCCCTCCTAAGCGTGCCACTCTATTTGGCTCACTTTCAATGGTAGGCAGAGTATAACAAGTTAATAAAGCATTGGAGAAACACTTAGGACAAAGTGGAATACATGAAGAAGACGTTGTCAATGAGGAATGTTAAAGAGAGGTTTTGAGTTTCTTTTTTGCTTTCTCGTTTTATGACTTTTTCTGTGTTGTATAGTGATGACTAAGATAAGTTGCTTTGGAAAAATCAGAGCTGCTCTGCAATAATAATCAAATCAGTCTATATATGGACATGTTTAGTGGTATGTTTATTGTAAAAATACATTGGTTTCACTTAATGGAGGATTTGGAAGGGGGAAGTAGAAGGAGAAGGAATGGCCCTGGTTGAAACTTCTTGGCACACTATTAAGAATCATTTAGGAAAGTTCTATCAACTCTGAAGGTTCCTCTTCAGCCATTTGAACCAGGGCAAAAAATGTCCCTTAAATACAGGAGGAAAAAAAAAAAAAGTAGATGGTAGATTTCAAAGAGTGATCTTTTGAGAGATGGGATTTTATGGTTCAGGAGAATTTGCCTGAGGCAGAGCTGTGGTCTGGGAAGATTCAGAAGGAGCAGCCATGCTCACACTGCCAGAAGTGGCTGGCCTTAGGTGAGAGCAAACACCTAAATATCTTTATAAATAATACTTGCCTTTCAGAAGGCTGTGTGATCGCTATTCATTGCGGGATGCACTCTGGAAAGATGACTACCTAGGCTCACCAGACTTGCTGAACAAAACAGCTGGATTTTGGGACTTAAAATACGATTTTAAGTCTAGTTCTGGTTTGAGGGTGTCAGTTCTGCCCTGTGGATCATTTACAGTAATTGATAGCTTGCAGAAAATTAAATCACCTCACTGAGAATAAGTGTCTGACTGAGTGCTCAGCTGAGGTTGGTTAGGTGGGATGGAGGAGAAACAAGAGTGAGACCACTCCTCTGAAGCTGGTAACTAATATATTAGTTCAGCTGCCCTGTGAAACCTCCCTGAGAGTGAAGGGAGCTGCAGAAAGTAAAGAGCAAACTTCTAAAACATAAGTGCCATAGGGACATTTTGTACTGCAATTGCTTCCATGACTGTGGGTTTAATGTAGCTCAGCCAACCACGAGACCATTACTCTGGTTTTCAGGTGGGTTTTGTAGCTACTTTGAAGGTGCAGCAGGGATGAACACAGGGTTCAGTCACAGTGTGGATAGTGTCAAGAAATTACAGAGGCAGAAATACCTGTGATGTGATATTTGTTCCTTGCAGCTTTCTGTCATGCCCTTTTGTAATTTTATGAGAGTACTCCCACATAATAAGCTTTATTAGTACAAAAATTGTTATGTATGGTCAATCTGAAATTTGGAGGGAGAGGGGTATATGTGTGTGTAGATAGATGTGTATGAAAGAAAGCAGAGTTTAGTCCTCAAGGATAACCTTAACTCCTTACTAAGGAGTTAACCCACTAAGCCTTGTAGGATATCTTCAATTATTTAAAGAGCTTATATGTATGTATTTTGTCTATCATCTAGTATTTTAATATGTGGTCATTAAAATATTTTGAAAAGCAGCTGTATCTGGGGAAAAGTAGACATGGGTGCAGTTCAAAGCAGTTGTTGTATATCTGCAAAGACCTCACTTTCCCCTCACTGATGAGTTACATTCTCCTTCCATCCTGACTGAGTGCTTCTTTTCCCCATTTAATGACAGGAATACAGCCAAGCATTTTCCTGTAAGATAGCAGCTTGGGAGACTGTTCATCTACTTTTTAGTTTGTTAAGTAAGAATGCCTCACATTTGGCATGCTAAAGATTTTACCCTAGTCCCTCAGGGATGGCAGAATGTCTAATTTCCCCTAAAGTTATTCTGTATGCTCAATGAAAACTTTTGCTGTTCCAAGTCATCACTTCGGTGTATTATTACTTATTTTAAACTCATTGAAGTTACCTCTGCAGTCATGATTTTGAATCATGTTCAATTCGTTATAATGCCTGAATCATTTGCCATAAATCCATATATGCACTTAATAAATCTGTAAATTAATAAATGTACTCTGTAATGAAAAAACCCACATGAAGTATGATGATGGACACAGATCAGGAATAATTCCTCACATAGCTACCTATACACATGAAGATGTGCAATAATATGTACCTATGCAAACATACATGTTACAAATAATCCTAGACTTGAAGCATGAATATAATAGCCCAAAGTAACTTTTTTGCATAGATCTTCTCTTTGACTCAGAATATTCAGACAGCTTTTCCCGGGGCTTCTTCCTGTCTCTTACAGGTCACTTTTTGCTCATCTTCTGTTCTCACGAAGACAGTCTATAGCAGAGTCAGCTATTACAAGACTCATCAGCTTCCTGTCTCGACATCAGGCTTTTCCTTCTCCCTTTAGTCTTAAAAATGCACATTTCACTGTCATCCTGAAACTGCTTAGGCTATGGTCACAGTTATAGCATCATAGCACTCAGCAGCAGATGGGAAACTGCCTCCCAGAATGAAGGAAAATCAGCAGATTTTCTGTATGGAAGAGGCATTAGAACAAAATTGCCATTTCCCACTTGAGAGAGCTGTCCAGGGGATCCTGCTATACTGAGTCTTTCAAAATCAGATGACAGCCTCTATTCAAAGTTCCTTCAGTGTACCCTGGAAAAAGAACCCCAGCTTTTTCTTGATGGACTCAAGAGATCTGCTCTGAGGGAAAACTGGGCATGGCTCCCAGCTGTGAACTGTATTTTATAAGCAATTTGGGAAGCCAGTGGTGTAAGACCAGTAACACTGGTGTGCA